TGTGGGCTACTAAGGAGATATTTGAAGATTGTATTCTCAATAAATGGGCTGAAGATTCAAGCCCAAAGAGCCCAAAAATATTCTGCACAAGTCCAAGAAGATGTCAACCCATTGGAGAGGATATGGTGCCACCTTTGAACCCAATTTCGGCCCACCTTTATCAAGCACGAATTGGGGATGTTTTCTACATTAATTCAACCTCATGAAGAGCTTCTTTAAGCCTCCTAGCCGTTGTAAGACGTTGCACATCCACTTCCACCAACTTTTCACTTTTTCCTTACTTTATGGTGTCTTGTTTTGCATTACCTTTCTTTAATGCTTTGTTAGCTCCTCCTTATGCACAAATTTCCTTTGCTTTCTTCTGTGTTTCAAGCCTATTTAAAGGCCCTTGTATGTCAAGAATGATAAGACTTTGAATTGATAAAAATCGAGTTGCATATTTGCTTCTTCTTCTTGGTGTGTCCGAGAGTATGGCCTTCTGCGCATGTGTGTGTGTGTCACCCTTGTGCAACGTCAAACCGTGGTGGATTCAAGGTTGGTTTAGCTCCTTTGAATCCTCTTTCATACCCCTATCTTCCATCAAAAATTGGGAATCATCCGAGTGCCCTTTGGCCTGGAACTTGCCTTCCATCTATCACCTAAACCGAGTGCTCTGTTTTAGTCCGACTTGTGTGTTGATTTCTAAGGCCTCCGAGTGCCCTTTGCCCTGGATATCCTCTTGAAATCTAACCATAGGAATACCTTAGTGAGTCTCCAAGTGTCCCCTGGTTTCGAGCTTGTTGTATTCGTTGTCCAAAAGGCAACATAAGACACGCACGTACAAACCGCATTTCACCGAAGGAAACGTGCGAGACTTTCTTGGCTCCGTGCGTGTATCATTTTTGGTATCAGAGCTCTTTTCAAGGACCACCCTAAGGTAAAGTATCTCTCTTTGTGTTTTACATTCATTTTAATTAGATTTCACCATTTTGCTTTGAAGAAAACCGAAAACCACAAAAACTGCCCACCGACGAAGAGGTAACGGTACGTCTCTTCCTATTTCATTTTCTGCTTCAAGTTTCTGTTTTTATTTTGTTTTGATTAACTTTCATTGAGAAAACAAAATAAAATGTTTGGAAAAGGAGAGGAAAGCAATGTAGCCATGTTGGAAGTGCTATGAAGTATTCAAGCACGATTAACTCGTCTTGAAGAAGAACGTATGCAACCAAGGTCCGACAAAACAAACAACCATTTCTATGAAAGGTCAACAAATCTAGATTTCAATGAACCATGCTCTGAAGATCCACATCCAAGGAGTAGATCAGTACATGATCGTGGAAGGCTCAAAGAAGAAGATAAGGTAGAAAAGGTCATCGAAAGCCAAAAACGTATCCAAAACATCCAAGGTAACAAATCTGATTTTAAACCTCTTATCTTTGCGGGACAACGTAATCCGGATGCTTATCTCGAATGGGAGAAACGGATGGAGAAAATATTTGAAGGGTATGTAGGGTCGGAGCACAATAAGGTGCAATATGCCGCAAGCCAACTCATTGGACATGCACTGAATTGGTGGAAGCGAGAAGCGACCGAATGACGACATGCATCTTATGATCCGATTTCGGCTTGGGAAGAAATGAAAATCATGATGCGTCGAAGGTATGTGCCAAAACACTTTCTTCATGAATTGCAACATAGATTTTGTAACATAGTGCAAGGAAGCAAGACGATCGAGGAATACTACGAAGAATTTGAACACCTTCCCACATGCTTGGAAATAGAAGACGATGAGAGAGTAGTCATGGCACACTTCCTAGATGGTTTGCATGAACGAATCGCAAGAGAGATAGAACATCAAGTTTACCATGATTTGAAGGATCTTGTGTCTATGGCCATTCATATAGAGCAGCAAATTCTCAAGAAGCCGAAGAGGATGAATCACATACAATCGCAAACATCTACATGCAAAATCTATTCCAAAACCGAAGATAAAGAGAAAGCGGATGATGGAGATGCAAGACCAAAGGGAAACGCAATCAAAACCTCAAAGGAAGTCACCACACTAGGTAACAAAATGTTTCCATGTACTAATCATATTCGTGAGGTCATGTGTTACAAGTGTAGGAAGCGAGGTCATATGGCACATGATTGCCCGTACCAACACAAGATGACCATCGTGAATGGTGAAAAATCTGAATCACTAGATGAGGTTGAGGTAGAAGACAATGAAAAGGAGGCCAAACTTCCAAACATCAAAGATCTTTTTGTCACTACTCGAAGTCTTAATACCATTTTGAATTCGAAAGAACCCGGTCGAATAGGAATGGTCTTCAATACATGTTGTACCATAAACAACAAGGTAAGTGGCAAAGGTATGGATGTCATCTCTATTACTAATGTAAAAGATTTACCTTCATAAGATTATGAGTATCCATTGGCATGGAACTCTCGTCACCATAATTGGTAGCAAACCACAACATCGTTCAAAGATGACTCGATCGCTTGAGAAGATAGCTAGTAGAAAGAAAAAGAACCAAAGAGGACATCTCGCACCTCCGAAACGGTCATCAATGCCTCAAGGATACACATATGGGTCGTGTTCCTTGTTTCAAGAGTTTCACACGGTAATTTCGTTCTAATCTTTATTCTCATTTACGATCAATGTTTTCTTGACCATATTGTGCATTGTGAACAAATAATCGAGATATTTCGAAGGGAATCTTTCTATGACAATCTTAAGAAACATCCATATTGCATTAAACTGTTTGTTGTCCTAGGATTTGTTACTATATTACAGGTTTCACATCTTCATGAGTCTCACATAAAATCCGAGAAAAGAATAGTGGACATGAATTTGGAAACGAAAGACATGGATAAAAATGTGGCTACGAGGGTGATGACCATGATCAATGTCAGAAAAGATCCAAAAATAGAGGATATGTATGTGAATACAATTATGGGGCTCAAGATTCTCGGAAAGAAACATAAATGGCCACCCGACATCCGAAAGACTCACATGTGGTCGATATGCAATAAAGTAGGAACAACAACCGGTAAACTCGTTCCCATTTTTATTCTTGTTTACGATTCTTGTTTCAACAAGTATATAGCGCAAAGTGAGAACCACATGGGGATTTTTCAAAATAATTACCTTCACGAGGATTGTAAAAGGTGCACTTGCTACACTTATGTGTTTGTTCCTCTAGAATTTGTCCATAATTTGCAGGTGTTACACTCTAGGGAAGATGAAATTGACATAAAGAAAGTATGGACATCTTCAAGAAACATTCAAGCTCAAAGATCACATGGAGAAGATCATCGTTACCATCAAACCATGAAGGATTCAAGAAATACAACCACCTTAACTCCAAAGAAAATCAATAAGGATGAACCATTCGATCGAGGAGATTCACGAGAGCAAGCATGTCACATACAAAACGAGCATAAAGACGATGTCGATCACATCCTCACACACCAAGGTACGTATCACATATCATTTGAGTTTAATGATGTTGACTTAGATCCGTTTGATGTAGGAAAGAAAGTTTTAAGGACAAAACCTTTTCAAGGGGGAGGGAATGATGCAATCCAACAATCATCCAACATCAACATGGACGATAACAAACAAAACCCGAACGAGAAGCAAGACCATGTCGTCGACGCTATAGGAGGAGAAGAAGTGAACACCGAGCATACCATGCCAACCATTCTTACACCTTCACTTACAAGACAAATGACTCAAAGAATACGTTCAAATATCAATGCATATGTCAAAGAGTGGCTGATCAAAGCATCCGAAAAATGGTCAAGACAATGCAACGGATGCGATAACGACAACAAGCGCTAAACCGTCACATTGTTATGGAGTTTATGTTGTCCAACACCAAAGACTTCGTGGGCTAACATGTGGGCTACTAAGGAGATATTTGAAGATTGTATTCTCAATAAATGAGCTGAAGATTCAAGCCCAAAGAGCCCAAAAATATTCTGCACAAGTCCAAGAAGATGTCAACCCATTGGAGAGGATATGGTGCCACCTTTGAACCCAATTTCGGCCCACCTTTATCAAGCACGAATTGGGGATGTTTTCTACATTATTTCAACCCCATGAAGAGCTTCTTTAAGCCTCCTAGCCGTTGCAAGACGTTGCACATCCACTTCCACCAACTTTCCACTTTTTCCTTACTTTATGGTGTCTTGTTTTGCATTACCTTTCTTTAATGTTTTGTTAGCTCCTCCTTATGCACGAATTTCCTTTGCTTTCTTCTGTGTTTCAAGCCTATTTAAAGGCCCTTGTATGTCAAGAATGATAAGACTTTGAATTGATAAAAATCGAGTTGCATATTTGCTTCTTCTTCTTGGTGTGTCCGAGAGTATCGCCTTCTGCGCATGTGTGTGTATGTCACCCTTGTGTAAGGTCAAACCGTGGTGGATTCAAGGTTGGTTTAGCTCCTTTGAATCTTCTTTCATACCCCTATCTTCCATCAAAATTTGGGAATCATCCGAGTGCCCTTTAGCCTGGAACTTGCCTTCCATCTATCACCTAAACCGAGTGCTCTGTTTTAGTCCGACTTGTGTATTGATTTCTAAGGACTCCGAGTGCCCTTTGGCCTGGATATCCTCTTGAAATCTAACCATAGAAATACCTTAGTGAGTCTCCAAGTGTCCCCTGGTTTCGAGCTTGTTGTATTCGTTGTCCAAAAGGCAACATAAGACACGCACTACAAACCGCATTTCACCGAAGGAAACGAGCGAGACTTCCTTGGCTCCGTGCGTGTATCATTTTTGGTATCAGAGCTCGGTTCAAGGACCACCCTAAGGTAAAGTATCTCTCTTTGTGTTTTACATTCATTTCAATCAGATTTCACCCTTTTGCTTTGAAGAAAACCGAAAACCACAAAAACAGTCCCACCGGCGAAGAGGTAACACTATATCTCTTCCTATTTTGTTTTTTCTTTGAGTTTCTATTTGTATTTTGTTTTTGATTAACCCATATTTGAGAAAACAAAAGAAATCACGTCTCACATCGACCCAGCGGGGATGCAAAGTCGGCGATCGCGGAATAGATATCCGTCATGTAGGTAAAATGGGCCAGAAGCATCCTGCCTACAATCCTCAATGACGGTTCTAAAATCTGGATCGGTCACATAGTTTTCCTTGATGAGAACGAAGCCTAGCATGCGGGCTTCCATGACCGAGAGCAACGTATGTCTACGAGACAAAACATCCGCGACGACGTTTTCTTTTCCCTTCTTATACTTGATTACGTAGGGAAATGTCTCAATAAACTCAAGCCATTTGGCGTGGCGTCGCTTAAGCGTGGTTTGTCCTTTAAGATGCTTTAGCGTCTCGTGATCGGAATGCACGACAAACTCTTTGGCGAGCAAATAATGCTGCCACGTCTCAAGTGCACGTACAAGAGCATAGAGCTCTTTGTCGTAAGTCGGATAGTTCAGCGTAGCTCCGCTGAGCTTCTCGCTAAAATAGGCCACGGGCCTCTTCTCCTGCATTAGGACGGCTCCAATGCCAATCCCGGAGGCATCGCACTCGACCTCAAAGGTTTTGTCAAAGTTTGGGAGGACTAAAACCGGCGCGGTAGTGAGACTATCCTTTAGAGCGGAAAAGGCGCGCTCTTAAGTCTCGCCCCATTCGAAGACCACGTCTTTCTTTGTGATCGCGGTGAGGGGAGTAGCGATGCTGCTAAAGTCTCGGACGAATCGACGGTAAAAACTAGATAGACCAAGAAAACTCCGCACATGTCCGATAGTAGACGGCGTCAGCCACTCCTGTATAGCTTTGATCTTTTCACCGTCAACTCGCAGCCCTTGAGAGCTGACCACAAAGCCTAGAAATACTAACTCATTTGTGCAGAACGAGCATTTCTTAAGGTTGGCATATAGACCTTCTTGTCGAAGAGTGGTCATCACTTGCTCCAGGTGCGA